CTGTGAACATCTCAATCTCAGACTTTCAGCCTCCAGAACTGTAATAAAATTAATTTCTCTCATTCAACCACCTACGCTGTGTCATTTGGCTGTGATATTACCCTAGTCAATCTCCACTCCCTGGAGTCACTAGTTCTGCCCTCTGGCCTCCTTGATGTCCCAGAAATAGCAGACCTGCTTGGGTCCTGTGCCACTGGCTGTTTCTTACAACTAGAGCTCTCTCCTGATTCACCCAGCCTGGTTTCTCATTCCCTCCCAGCTCACATGTCACAGGCTCATGAAAGGTCTTCCCTTATCCTCTTGCAATTTACAACAGCTCCCAAGCCCCAACCATGGCCAACTTTCCCTATACTCTTGTTTCATCTTTCCTAACAGCATAGCTTTGTTGTTTGACTGCTTCTTTTTAAGAGGAAAAAATTCTGCTGTTCACTTTTTGGTTTTTTTGGTACAGGGTTTCACTACACAGCCTTGTAGTGATCTTCCTGTTTTCACCCTCCCCAGCAGTTGGCATTACAAGGGTGCACCACTACACCTGGACTCCACTGCAGGCTTAACATGCCCCAGAGGCAGGGCTGGGATAGCATGTGGTACTGGGGATAGAACCCCAGTCACAGAACCCTGTGCTTGCCTAAGCAAGTGCTTAGTCCAATAAACTATCTCAACGGCCCTTGCTATTCACTTCTGAGTCCCTTGCAATAAGAATACTGAGCACATAGACATAATCAAAGATTTGTAATAAATAAATGAAAAAACAATGCTGCTGTCGCATGTACTTTTTCAGAAGTGAAATAACTGCATGCGCAGTGCTTGAATCTAATCCAGTCATGGGCTCATCCAGGAACAAGACGGGAGGGTCAGTGATCAGCTCTATTGCGACACTGGTCCTTTTTCTCTCATCTTTGGACAAAACCTAAAACACAAATTATTACTATCATCTATAGAAATCACCAGCATCCCTGTCACTTGGTGAACTAATCTGTGCCAGCCCTGTAATAGACAATTTCTCTCTTTTTCCTTATTATTCTAAACAGCAAGTAAACAGACACTTAGGAGAGGAAGTAGGTTTCTTCTTTACTAAATGAGTAAACTGAAACTCAATCCAGAGCTGTTAAATGAGATCTGACATAAAGCTCATACTTTTCACAATTACAAATGTCGCTTATCAAATCAAGCATTTCATTTTAGGGTAAGAAATTAGAACACTGGAAAGCTATGGTCCCGACATAGTAAAACCACAGTGTACACAGCAGATAAAGACAGGAGAGAAAAGAGGAAAGCATCTATAGAAATTTATTAGTCTTCTAACAATATATCTCCTCACTATAGTAGCCAAATGTCTCCAAATAAAGTTACAAAATGGGAGTGAACTTGGAGCCAGGAAAGTTCACTTTATACCAGGCCATCTCAGCCCCTTTTCCATTTCTGCAAGGCTTGCCAAACTGATTCTATCAGGGGGCTGGGGACCTAGCTCAGTGGCACAATGCTTGCCTGATAGGCATAAGATCCTGAGTTTGATTCCTGGTACCCACAAAAAAAAGGAAAAAGAAAGAAAACGTACAAAGTACTAAGTTAGTCTATACTCTATCTCACTATAGAATTCCAAATTCATCCTTTCTGATGAATCCAGAAAATAGGATTATTTTAGCACATTTGCCTCCAAAAGTCCAAATGTCTAAACTTCCACACAGACAGATTTCTCTCATTTTTTTCTCACTAATCTTCACAAAACGAAGGGTTATTTTATCTGTTCTTTGTTACCCATGCCCACAACTATAGATCCAAATTCTATTCTAGAGGTTGAGATAAACATATCAAAACAAAATTTATGGAAAAATAATGAGTACAAATTAAAAGTAAATCCTAATGTGATTGAATGTAGCTTTGAAAGCCATATTATAGCAAAGTGAAGTACAGCAAGAATTCTTGCCTTCTTATGAATCAATTTCAGAAATATGCCTCAGAAACACATTGGAACAAAGGCCCCTGGAAGAAGAGAAGTGAGCTCAAAGGGGAAGGAGAGAAATAGGAGAAAGAAAAGTTAGCATAAAGCTATTAAATGAGCCCCTGAACTCTACAATGAGGACAGGAGAGGGTGATATAGAAAAAGTGAACTGAAGACATTTTCCACCCTACATCTCCCCCTGTTCCCAGGAGTTACCCATTCTTGGGACTAACTCTCCTGCTTAACTTCCACTTTCATATTAGATAACTAGTCACTTTTTTCCTCATTACAGAAAGCAACCATTATAAGTTGCTATGTTAGAGGAAAATTCTAATTTCCTATACAATAGGAACTTTCTGTCTTTTTTATATATTAATTTCATTGAGAAAGTAGTAGTAATAAGACAGTTTTAAAACAGGTTAGTAGGAGGATGGGGAGATGGCTCAGTAGAACAAGCACTTGCATGGCAAGCACAAGGGCCTCATTTCAAGCCACAGTTCCGAAAAAAAAAAAAAGGTTAGTAGGACAGTTACAATAATTAATGCATTACATATTGTTGTCTTTGTAGTAGTTATTCATAGTACAAGATGCAGATGTGATATCTTGTCTAAGCACTATTAGTTCAAAACTTTCTTCTCATTGAACTAAGAGAAAGTAGCTGTATATGTGTGCTAACTATTTGTATATAGAGATACATATCGATGATGTAGAGTGTGGCTAAGAAGAGTCACCTGAAGAGAAAACGTTCTCTCAGGCTTTCACAGAGAGCAAATTGGTCAATCAATGGCCGTGACTTATCCACATGGCTAACACTGACAAAAGATCTACATTGTCTTTAAGAGAGATCCTATTTCCTAGCTATGATTCCCTCAGTATATTCACATTACCTTGGAATCTGCCACTCCATCCAGACCTAGCTTAGCAATGAGAATGTTAATCCGTTCATTTTTTTCATGATCCGTCATAGTTGTTGGAAGCCGAAGAGCTGCTGAGAACTGTAAATGTTCTCTCACGGTAAGTGTGATCATCACAACATCATCATTCAGACAAAATATTTGAATGGCATATCTTGAGTCTTTTTGAAGACCATCATTCTAGTATATGTATCTTAATCATCAAAATTACACACCAAAAGTACTTTCTAGATAATGGTGATCTTTCTATTCTGCCCACTGTAGTAACTACATACATAAACAGCTGCATTCTGATGAGATAATTTGCAACCCCCACTGCCCACCAATGAAGAGCACAGGTTATGAGATGACTAATAGCAGACTGCTGAGTACTGAGATTTTTCCAAGGATATCTCTCTAAGCTAATGGAATGAGAAAGGAAAAAAGAGCAGAAAAGGACAATATTGACCCCACTGCCCTACAAGGCTCAAATTCCTCATCTTCTCTGCTTTTTCCTTTAACCCTACCCTCAAATAGTGGGAGATTATGAAAATTCAGTATAAAGAAAGTTGGTTCCATGAGCACATCATATAATTCATTGGAAGCATACAAAAGCATAACCCAAGACATCTGCCCATGAAGA